AGTGACCCGACAGCATGGACGGAGAGACGCGACAGGATGGATGGAGAGACGCGACCCATGGAGGGAATGACGCGACAGCAATGACGAAGAGATGCGTCAGCAGGGACAGAGAGACGCGACAGCATGGACGGAGAAACGTGACAGCATGGAAAAAGAGACGCGATAGCATGGATGGAGAGACGCGACAGTAGGGACGGCGAGACGCGACAGCACGGACAAAAGGGATGCGACAGCAGGGACGGACAGACGCGTTAGCAAGGACGGAGAGACGCGAGAGTAGGGACGGAGTGACGCTAGAGCATGGACGGACAGAGAGATGCGATAAGATGGACGTAGAGACGAGACAGCAGGGACGGAGAGGCGCGACAGCAGGGACGGAGAGACGCAAATGCAGGGACGGAAATACGCGACAGCATGGAGTGAGAGACGCAACAGCATGGATGGGGTGACGCGACAGCATGGACGGAGAGATGCAACAGCATGGATGGAGAGACGCTACAGCATGGACGGAGAGACGCGACAGCAGGGACCGAGACACGCAACAGCAGGGATGGAGAGACAACAGCAAAAAACAGAGAGACGCGACAGCAGGGATGGAGAGATGCGACAGCAGCGACGGAGAGACGCGACAGCATGGACGGAGAGACGGAACAGCATGGACGGAGAGACGCGACAGCATGGATGGAGAGACGCGACAGGAGGGGTGGAGAGACGCGACAGGCGGGACGGAGAGACACGACAACATGGACGGATTAACGCGATAGCATGGACGGCGAGACGCAAGAGCATGGACGGAGAGACGCGACAACATGGATGGAGAGACGCAACAGCAGGGACGGAGAGACGCGACAGCATGGACAGAGATACGTGACAGTATGGACGTAGAGACGCGATAGGATGGACGGAGAGAGGCGACAGCAAGGACGGAGAGACACGACAGCATGGACGAAGAGACGCGACAGCAGGGACGGAGAGACGCGACAGTAGGGACAGAGAGACGCGACAGCAGGGACGGAGAGACGCGACAGCAGGGACAAAGAGACGCGACAGCATGGACGGAGAGATGCGACAGCACGGACATAGAGGCGTGATAGCAGAGATGGAGAGACATGAGAGCAGGGACAGAGAAATGGGACAGCTGGGATGGAGAGACGCGACTGCCTGGAGGGACACCCGACAGCGTGGAGGGAAAGACGCGACAACGTGGAGGGAGAGACGCGATAGCAAGGACGGAGAGACGTGAGAGCATGGAAGAAGAGACGCGACAGCATGGACGAAGAGACGCGACAGCATGGACAGAGAGACGCAACAGCATGGAGGGACGGAGAGATGCAACAGCAGTGACAGAGACACGCAACAGCAGTGACGGAGAGACGCAACAGCAGGGATGGAGAGATGCGATAGCAGCGACGGAGAGACGCGACAGCATGGACGGAGAGACGCAACAGCATGGACGGAGAGACGCGACAGCATGGATGGAGAGTCGCGATAGGAGGGGCAGAGAGAGGCGACAGCGGGGACAAAGAGATGCGACAGCATGGACGGATAAATGCGATAGGATGGACGGAGAGACGCAACAGCATGGATGGAGAGACGCGACAGCATGGACGGAGAGACGCGACAGCATGGATGGAGAGATGCTACAGCATGGACGGAGAGACGCGACAGCAGGGACGGCGACACGCAACAGCAGGGACGAAGAGACAACTGCAAACAACAGAGAGACGTGACAGCAGGGATGGAGAGATGCGATAGTAGTGACAGAGAGACGCGACAGCATGGACGGAGAGATGCAACAGCATGGACGGAGAGACTCCACAGCATGGATGGAGAGACGTGACAGGAGAGGCGGAGAGACGCGACAGCAGGGATGGAGAGACGCGACAGCATGGACGGATTCACGCGATAGCATGGACGGAGAGACGCGAGAGCATGGACGGAGAGACGCGACAGCAGGGACGGAGACACGCAACAGCAGGGAGGAAGAGACAACTGCAAATAACAGAGAGACGCGACAGCAGGGACGGAGAGACGCAATAGCATGGACGGAGAGACGCGACAGCATAGACGGAGAGACGCGACAGCATGGACGGAGAGACGCGACAGCATGGACGGAGAGATGCGACAGCATGGACGAAGAGATGCGATAGCAGGAATGGAGAGACGCGACAGCATGGACGGAGAGACGCGACAGCATGGACGGAGAGACGCGACAGCAGTGGCAGAGAGACACGACAGCAGAGACGGAGAGACGCGACAACAGGGACGGAGAGCCGCGACATCAGGGACGGAGAGACGCGAGGGTATGGACTGAGAGACGAGACAGCAGGGACAGAGAGACGCAACAGCAGGGACGGAGAGATGCGATAGCATGGAGGGAGAGACGCTACAGCGTGGAGGGAAAGACGCGACAACGTGGAGGGAGAGACGCGATAGCAGGGACGGAGAGACGTTAGAGCATGGAAGAAGAGACGCGACAGCATGGACAGAGACACGCGACAACATGGATGGAGAGAGCGATGCAGTATGGGACGGCGTGTGCCGTTTACTTCAGAAAATTTTGAACTCTGCTACCTCTGTATCAACTTTTTCTGCAGTATCGGCGGAAGGTGTCACTGGCACTCGATAAAATCGGCACCGACAAATGCGGATGTTGTGGATGATCTTCATGCCTGGCCGATTTCCTAGAAAACGGCAGTGTCGCCTGTGTTTTTCTAGGGAAACGGTCTTGGAGACAGACCAGCACCCCAAGAAACAACGTCTCTGGCGCATCGTTCAGTGCCCTCGATTTTCATGGGTTTGTACTTGTAAAACGTACGGAGATGCGACAGACCGGGTTAGACGAGAGGGGAAATTCGACACTTCAGGAAGAGCAGGGCAGCGTAGCAGAAATCTCAAGCTGAGTGCCCCCATGTTTGGCTAAGCGGCGGTAGCACTATGGCCACCTACCGACCGAGACTTTCCAACGACTTACATCTTCTACACCAGATTCCAATTTCGGGTCTAATACTAACCGCAACTCGCCAAATGAATACTGTTCCATAAAATTACCCTAAGGGCATACACAATCATTGTTTGACCGACCATCTCAAAACACAAGTGGCGCGAAACACAAGTACCCTGAGCAACGAAATGCGATTGAGCCCGAAAAAACCTGCGCGACGAGATTCCCTGAGTTGTCAGTGGAGCAATTTTGGCATGTCCAATACGAATTTGTCCCAGTCGCTAAAGTGCAAGAGTCTCGCTGGGGTGACAGGTGTCAGGTTGGGTTCGCTGATGGGGGGAATGTTTGGGTTTTTAGGTTAACGGTAACCCTTACTATCGTTTTTCGCTCTGGGGTAACGTTTACCCCTATTACAGAAGGATTTTTGGCTGTTCCAACCCCCGAGGGGCAATTTTTTGTTCTTCGAGGTTAGTCCGCTCCACAACGAACCATGCGTCACAATCTCGTTGCTCCGTCACTGTACTTTTCACTTGGCAAATTCGCCACACCTCTCCTTGTCTTCTTGTTCCGAAGCCATCCAGGGAGGTGGGTGGCTCTACAGCGAGCTGTTACACAGCCCTACTGTTGCGCCAAATCACCAGATCTCCTGCCAGCACGTCAGCCAACTCTAGCTCTTGATATACGCCGGCTGATACATACAAGATTAGGTTAGCATATATGCATGAAATATGTTGCATATAATTGCCTCAAGTTTAGAGACCACATTTCCTAATTCCCTTTTGCTGAAATAACTTCACGCAGTGCATTTGCAGTGACTCAGTCATGTTTAAAACTTAGAAAATAACAAGGATATCGCTAGCACACCCTCCTTGCTGCTGGGTGTCTTGTGAAACACAACACATGGCTATTATTTTTTTGTGGGGCAACATATTGTCATCGATAGTAGAAAAACAATAAAAATGTATAAAACCCCGCAAAAATATGGAAATGTTACTCGTTTTCTATGCACCATGTGATTGAGACCAACTCTTTATATTAAATAGACATTCTCTTGCTTTTGATGTAACCAAAATATTGAGAACACGTGCACATGTCTTCTGTTAACGCACAAGTCACAAAACTTTATGGAATTAATGGAAAAAAATATGGACCATTTGTTTTCCACCATTTCTTGTATTCCCTTTATTTTACTGACGAAAAAAAAAAAAAAAAAAAAAAAAAAAAAAACGCAAGCTATCCATCTATCGCCTCCCTAGTGCTAGCATTGGGGGGAATTTTTTGTGATAAAGTTGTAACTTAAGCATTTCTGTAAGTAGTTCCAATAGATAATATCGAGTTACACTATAGATAGCATCCGTAGAATGACCTCAGCAAATAGCGCTCGTCTGGATGATTTTTTCAGCAAGTCGTTTCAGTCACGCGAACAGTCGCGCTATTTTCAGTAGCGTTTAGAGCACATAGCGCAAATAGCTCGAACAGGTACATCAGCGAATATGTAATTCTAGCAGATATAAAAGTAACTTGTACAACTTCAATTGTTAACTTGTTCTTCGGTAAATTCTAGTCAACACTTTAGAAGTTCTATGACTTCCGCTGTCTTATTCGTCTACCATTCCAGCAAAGATCCTTGGTTAAGTCTTGAAGTATCACAAGGTTGTAAACACTGGCTCTGGTGTTACAACTTGTTAGTACTAGCTGTTACTTGTGGTGCCTCCAGTATTACTTTCTACTTCAACTACTTGTGTCTGCAGATTCTATACTTTGTCTCCTACACCACCTTTCAAATTCTTTCAGAAGTTAATAGAATAGTGACGAAACAACACAGTTCATGAATTCCAAAAATATAGTTTGCACTCATCACCTTCTTTTCGAATAACTCTACTCATAGAGCGTGTCAAGCACCGTATGTGAAGCACTTTTTGAGAAACACAAAATGCATTGCATAAGAAGAAGAGAAGGGTAAAAATCAAGAGAGAGTCTACAGAAAAACATGGAAGACAAACAGAGCAATTAACCGGAATAACATATGTCCCCTATAAAAGTCCACAATTCAAAACTACAATCATCTTCCAAAAACATTCATGAACCCTGAAAAAATAAAACGGAAGAACAGAAGAGGAGGGATAAGAGACGTTTTAGGCTGATTATGGCTACTAACGATAATAAAGAGTCCAAAGTATGAGAAGCAGCGGGGATGCACGTCAAAATGGAAAAAGTGAGAGATTGAGAGCGAGAGAGAGAGAGAGAGAGAGAGAGAGAGAGAGAGAGAGAGAGAGAGAGAGAGAGAGAGAGAGAGAGAGAGAGAGAGAGAGAGAGAGAGAGAGGGGGGGGGGGGGGGGGGGGGGGGTTGAGAGCTGGATCAGAGGGAGGAAAGACGAAGGGAGGGAAAAGGAGGGGGAAAGACAACGGGAGGAAGAGCAGAGGGGAAAGGACAAGGGGAGGTAAATCAGAAAGGGAGAGAAAAAGGGACCAAGAGAGGGGAACGGAGGGGGAACGACAAAGGGGGAGGGACGGAGGGGGAGAGAAAAAGGAAGAGGATCGGAGGGTGCCATACGAAATTGGGGAAGAACGGATGAGAGAGGAAGGGATGGGGGAAGAACGGATGGGGGGAGAACGGACGTGGGGATATCGGACGGGGGAGAACGGACGGCAGGAGTAGGTTCGTGGGAAGAACGGACAGGAGGGAGAACGGGCAGCGAGAGAGCGGATGGAGGAACAACGGACATGCAACAACAAAATTAGGCGCACATGAATAGAAGAGAATAGGATTTAGCGTAGATCTCAGCCTCACAGCTAGACTGGGCAGTAGACGACGAGTAGGTGGACCTCCACGAGATGGCGCCTGCACGAAGGTTAAAACAGTAGCCCTGGGAGGACCTGAGCGTCTCAGCGTCGTCCGCCCACGAAGCGTCTATGTGCCCTGTAATAACCACTGGCCTGCGTCCTCCTAGCACTAGCCCCATGCCCAATGTACTCGCTAAATTGGGCATTAGAGCTTTTTGCAAATCTCCACCTGTAATGTGCCCCACCCAATCCCCACCTCTCCCTCCGATCATGATAAGAAGAATACTAGCATGTGTTCAAGCCCTTGTAGAAGATTAGGTCATACGCTAGACTTGTACACACATTTGTTTCCCATGGCCTATTCAAAACCGGTATAGCACTGTGGTTATCAAATGATGCAGTCGCTGAGCAAAACAATTCAATTCCCCGGTCATTAATTTCGAACAACCGTGCAGGACTACATACTGCAAGAATGGATTAACACTATAAGAGCCCTTAGAGTCGATACTTGTGCAGCTACAGCGGACTCAAGAGGGGTTTAACATTAATAAGAGCACTTCATCAAGAAAATTTCACCCCTTTCAGTAATACATAGAGTTATTATGGTATGTAGAGCCTGTTATATTTTCATTCAGAGATTACACCGCGAGATCTTAAGAACATATTATGTTTGATTCCGTCCATCTTCACCACGAATATGGAGCCGCATGCTGAGACAGTTGCTCCCACCATTGAGGAGGAGCTGCATGTCGGTTCTTGCTGTTGCTCCCGATGCTGCTGTGACTGCTCTGTCCCCAAAGGCTGCCATTTCCGTTCCTCGTGCACTTGCGGCAGTTACCTCTGCTGCAGCTCTTGTCCCCCCAGCTGTTCCAGCAGCTTCTTTCGACTCCTTACCTGTTAAGCCCCATGCTAGTTCTGAAACCTGGAGTCCGTACATGCCTACCAAGTTTGAGGGTCGCCCTACTAGGTAGAAAATCAGAGAGCAGCAATATGAGAGACCAATCAAACACTTGCAAGGAAGGATGCATAACAAGGCATTGTAAATACCGGGAGTGATCCTTATGTTGTTGTTTGGGTACATATAAAGTACACACCATGCTGTTCAAAGGGGTGTATCGGTTCAGTGACATAATATTACAGCAAGCCGAATTTGATGAAGTGTTCATAAAATTACTTTGATTGTTTTCCAAAGAAAGTGCATTCCTCGACAGTGTAAGATGACTCCACAATAGGAAAAGGCATATTCTAGCTTCCATGGATAAGCGTCAAACTGTACGATTACCAAAATCAGACACATTCTCCCCCGTAAAAAATGAAAATGCTGATAGGTGTCACGCCGGAGCGTGTATGGGTTTAGGGTACAGACAGTGTAACATACGTTACAGTACAAAGCATTTATTTAAAAGGGCAGTGTCATCCCAAAACGCATCGGTTTCTTGGCGTTCCTTCTGAACATGTTGTTAGAATACAAGAAAATGACTAGAATCAAGGGTGAACAAGGGAGATATAGGGTTGGAGTTGTACCATCTAAGAACACACACGTATCTCGCCTATAACTTCTACATACAAATATTTGTATAATTTGATGCATATAACTCATACCAATAAACATACTACCTATGGCGCTGTTCTTCAAAGGATCCATCTGATAGGGCTCTCGCAGAAAAGGAGACAATCCCCGACGATAAATAAGCATTTACCTACGAACGATAAGCATTGCTAACAGGGAATACTCATATGAAGTCGAAAGTGTGCTTACCCTCCACGAATAGCGGCTACCGTCTCCCTTCCACAACCTCTACGGACCTGGCTCTTCCCGCTCCCATAGTGCCTGTTGGTGTTGCTGTACAAGCTGTGGCTGCAGTTGCTGCAGCATATTCTGCAGCTCCAGCCATTGCTGTTGCAAACACGTCTGGTGTTGCTGCAGTTGCTGCATATGCACTTGTCCCTGCCCTCGCTGCAGTTGCTGCTGCAGTTGTTGGTGTTGCTGCTGCTGCAGTTGCAGCAGCAGCCGCTGCAGATGCTGCCACCGTTGTTCCTGATGTTGCCCCTCTGGTTGTCGCAGGTGCTGCTGCCTATGCTGCTGGCCCTGCTGCTGCTGCTGCTGCTGTCCCTGCTGCTGTCCCCATTGCTGCCCCTGCTGCTGTCCCTGCTGCTTTCCCTGTTGCTGTCCCTGCTGCTGTCCCTGTTGCTGTCCCTGCTGCTGTCCCTGCTGCTGCTCCTCCTGCTGCTGTTGCTGCCGCTGCTGCTGCTGCTGCTGCTGCCGCCGCCCCTGCTGCTGCTGCCGCCCCTGCTGCTGGCCCTGCTCCTGCTGCTGCTGCTGCCGCCCCTGCTGCTGACCCTGCTGCTGCTGCTGCCACCCCTGCTGCTGGCCCTGCTGCTGCTGCTCCTCCTGCTGCTGTTGCTGCCGCTGCTGCTGCTGCTGCTGCTGACGCCGCCCCTGCTGCTGCTGCCGCCCCTGCTGCTGGCCCTGCTCCTGCTGCTGCTGCTGCTGCTGCCCCTGCTGCTGGCCCTGCTCCTGTTGCTGCTGCTGCCGCCCCTGCTGCTGGCCCTGCTGCTGCTGCTGCATGTGCTGGCGCCGCTTCAGCATCCGTTCCTGCAGTTTAGTCTTCCGCAATTGGCGACAGCGCTTCTGCCCCACCTACCTGCTCTGTTCAGCCTGCTCCCCTTGCATGCAAGGTTCATCACCACTATCCATCAGGCCATGCCCATGCGTTACTCCTGCGGTGCTCACCTCCACAGCTGTAAACACTCCGAAGTTTACATGCCCCTCAACATTCCCACGCACATCTGCACCCTCCATTGGCTGTTCCCCCGCAAACTGTCCCCCCGCAGGCTGTCCCACTGCATTCACACCCGTTTGTTGCCCAGTTCCCTACCCCTGCTCCCTAATGACTATTTCAGCTGGTACCTGCCTTTGTTGTCGAAGGTGTTGCATTCTCCGCAGTCGCGCCCAGATCACTCTCTCGGCAACAGCATTTGATGCATTTCCATCTGCAGGGGCGCTGCGGTCCTCGACTCCCTCCTCGGGGCTCAAAACCCTCTCTCCTTGCTCCCCCCTCCCACCCCTCCCACCCCGCCCTCTCCTCCCCCCACGTTCCCCCGATGCACCCGTTCCTATCCCCCCTCCCCTGCCTTCCATGCTTCTGCTTCCGCCTGCGCCTCCCCTGCCTCCCCTCCCTCTGCTGACTCCGCTTCGCCCCCTTCCTTCCATTACACCCCTTGTTCCCCTCCTTCCTGTCCCTCCCATTCCTCCCCTTCCAATGCTGCCTCTCCTTCCCCCACTTCTTGCCATGCCATTCCCTGCTCCCATCCCAACTTCCCCCCCTCTCTCCGTGCCTCCTCTGCTCCCTGTCCTCCCTCCACCTCCACCTGTCCCTCCACTTGTCGTCTCCACACCAAAACTGGTGCCTGCTGTAGCTTGGGCTGCTACGTCCACCCCCCCTTCAGATGCTCCCACATCACCCGAGGCCCCTCCATCCCCCGTAACTGTGTCTTCTCCAAGCCTCTCGTTCTGGTTGCACTGCTGTGCAGGATCAACACCTGCCAGTACCTCCTGCAGCTCTGGCTGAACATCTTCTGGAACACATTCCACAGGAACCTCGTCGCACTCATCCTCCGAGTCATCAGAACTACTGCTTTCTTCTTCCTCTACGTCTTCAGCCGCATCATTCACACCATCACCCTCTAGCTGTGCTTCGAGCTGCTGCCTAAGGGCTGCGCACACCACTCCTGGGTGGTGGCTGCCGTTGCATGCAACACACGGTACCACACTCACCGTCGCCTCAGCCCGTGTAGCTGTCTGCACACTCACATGACCTTCTAGGGTAAAAAGTTCCTCCCAAGCTGCTCGAATTTGCTTCCTCAAGTCACGAGTTTTTATGTTATGGCCCTTCTCCCCACACTTCCCACACTTACGAAGTTTCCTTGGATCGATCTCACTGTGGGGTCTTAGCCGCTGCAAGCGTCGCCTCCCTGGCTTTTGGGATAGGTGGGGGGTAGAGTAGTGCCATCCGGTGTTACTTCGGTCCGGTCTGGAGTAGCAATCTCAATGCTGTAGACCTCCTTGAGTGTAGCAGACCTGTAGCACGGGTGCACCATCGCCCGAACCACCTCTTGCAGGGCTGCCAGCTCATTGCCCCGAGCTGGCCGGGTTTCGTAGATATTCACCGCGAAGATATGCACACACGGTAGCCCGTACTCACTGGAAGCACCAATAGAGGAAAAAGACAAGGCACAAAGTTTTTAAGCAGCCGTCCACCGATCCTTATATGCTTGGGTGACAAAAAATCTATTTCACAACGATCAAGGTCCAACAAGAGCATATGCTGCTGAAAATTGAAAGAAAACCTGCGAAAGTGACAAACCTTGAGTAATTGCATGAGCATACGGTCTTCTCGGGATGGTTGGCGTTCTTTATCACCACACGCTCCTCCTTAGCCCCTATCTTGCAGCTCACGTGGTACGAGCTCAAGCCCGTCTTCTCCACGTTGTAGGACGTGCCCGTCTGACAATTCTCTCTGACTATGGTTGCCGTTTTCTTCCCGAAGTCAGCAGCCCCAAGGCTTCCATAGAGGGCACGCCCCTCTTCAAGCGCGGTCGCTTGCCGCTTGATGAATGCCAGCAACACCTGCGCGGGGTTGTCCTGTCTTAGCCCACGCATTGATGCATGATGCGATTCCACCGGATTTGATGTATAGCAGCCATAGCGTGGCCCACCGAAGAGAAATGTCGCCCATTTCTGTCCTTGGCCGTCCTTCTCCAAGTATTCCTTCCCTCCAGGACACTCTTCTTCAATCTTCTTCATCATCCCTCGGTGCACATCCTTTGTTAACGCAGCAGCCGCAAGCTCAATCTTGCCATCTAGGTCTGAGCCAAACTTCGAGCTGAAGTTCCTCACCAAGTGAGTTAAGCAGAATGCCTCCCGCATCCCGGGCAACACTATGGTGGCAGCAGACTTCCACGCCTTGCCACGATCATGCATCAGGGTAAACTTCGGGGTGTTGATCTTTGGTGCAGCCACCTTCAGCTGGCCCAAGAAATACCGGCACGATTCTGCGTTCTCACCTTCCGTCCACGCACTGCCGAGCCTCACAAGCTTGTGTTCACAATCAACCATACAAGCGTTGAGGGTTTGCCCGTGCCACTTTCCCTTGTTGTGGCAACCATCGACAAAAATGATAGGAAAGCAATTTTGTACAGCACTCCTAGCTCCCGGATACACCACACCTGCGCGGTAGAACTTGTTCCCCTGCAGCATCATGGAAACAACGCTGGTGGGATTCTTCTGTTTAAAGACTCTCAGAATGTCACCAATGTACTGGAAACCCTCATCACCAGCCAATGGGTCCTCCTGTACCACCTCTTCAATGGCCCGATAATTTGTAGAGTAGCAGCTGTACTTCCCTAATCTCTCGCGCACCATCTGTTGTAGATCAGCTGGTCTGAGAACACTATGGGGCATTACCTCACGTGCAATCTCTTTAACTTCCTCCTTTTTAACCCTCCCAGGGCGTGGCATGCACATGCCTGCATGCTGCAAACTAGCAATTTTCATACTAAAGCCGCACCCACATGGCCCCGTCGCCTTGATCCTAAACGGACAAAATCCACGAGGTGGATTCGCTTCATCTTTTGGCCAATCTTTGTTTTTCATTGACTGACAGCGCACCTCAATCCAATCCGCCTTGTTGTGGAAGAACCACGGTTCAAACCTCTTCTGGTCACCATACTTCACGATGTCATCCTTTGCAGCAATCTTCGATGAGTAGATCTTGCCAACGTGTATGTCCACATCGTCATTTCGTTGCCTTAGAAAAGCACTGCTTGAGCCAAAAAAGGAGGTTTTGTGTTGCTATGCCATGTAGCAACCCTAACGGAGTGCTCATGGGGCCCTAAACCGTGAGCATTCGCTTCTGAAACAACATAGGATAGTGCTCACCTTGATAACGAGCTTCTGAACATATTGTCCCTCTTGCTTTGCAGAGATGATAAGTATGTTGCATCTACCTGAGAGGAACACGTGTTGGTGGCACAAACAAACAGATAGTAGGAGAAAATTAGGGGAGTGACAGGTAGTGAAGGGCAGATTAAGCGGAGGATTGCAAGATGTTAGTGTAGTGGGTGGGCGGATTGAGTGGAGATAGGCGGAGGCTGGTGATGATGTGCAGTCGTAACAGAAAAAGACGATGGGGTAGTTGGGAACGGAAGGTAAAGCAGTGGAACATCAGGCACGCAAGCATTGACGGGTGGATTGAGCGGTGGGAGTGGCGATAGAGTTGTTGGGCGGATCGAGCAACGAGAAACGTTTGCATAGCGGGTGGATTGCGTGGGGAAAGGGGATGGGGGCAGCAGGAGAGACTCATAAGCTAGTTGGGAAGGGCGGATAAAGCAAGGAAAATTCGTGCTAGCGGGTATTGACGGGCGGATTGCGGGGGAGTGGTGAGAGTGGGATAGGCAGACAGAAGAGGAAAAACAGCGCCGCATGCTAGGTGCTTACTTCGGCGAATGAAATGGCTGTATGTAGGAGTTAAGGGGCGGCTTAGGGAAAGCCAAGAGACTGAAGGGGCAAAACTTGTGACAGTTGTTGGAGGAGCATGCTAAGTGACGAATTAGTGTGTACTATTTGGCACAGCTAGATCCGGTCAACTGTAGGAGTGTACATTGGAACCGCCATAAATACTTGAACCTAAGCAGATTTATCTTCCAACTATGCGGAGGAATAAATATCATGTGATACCGGCTGTAGTTGCTGTTTCGCGGGCTTATCATGATGCGCCTCGAAGTGACTAGCAGTTGCGGACCAGTGCAAACCCTAGAATAACTTGCATGAGGTGTTAGTGTGAAGGTTGGGCTGCCAAGGATGTGTTATCGTCAGCATCGCGGATTGCGGAATTGGTAAGGGAACCTTCAGTCATAGAGCTTGGCGAGCAGAAGTGTTGGCATGTTGGCGGGAAGATTTGGCGCAACAGTAGGGCTGTGTAACAGCTCGCTGTAGAGCCACCCACCTCCCTGGATGGCTTCGGAACAAGAAGACAAGGAGGGGTGTGGCGAATTTGCCAAGTGAAAAGTACAGTGACAGAGCAACGAGATTGTGACGCGTGGTTCGTTGTGGAGCGGACTAACCTCGAAGAACAAAAAATTGCCCCTCGAGGGTTGGAACAGCCAAAAACCCTTCTGTAATAGGGGTAAACGTTACCCCAGAGCGTAAAACGATAGTAAGGGTTACCGTTAACCTAAAAACCCGGAATGTTTCAAGCGGACGAAACAGATTGGCCACTTGGGGTGGTTGGCCAGAACCTGCGCGAAGAAAATGGAGCCAGGTGAACAGTGAGGCGTCTGTTTTTGCGGAAATAGCGTCTGCCAAAAGGCCGACCGACAAATCATACTGACGCGACGCGCGAGACGGGCCGTACACAGGCGCGCGTCGGAATGACGCAATGGAAGACCCAAACAAAGGAGAAAACTCTGGGAAAAAACATTTCGACGCCGGGACAGCCTAAAAATTGGCGGGTCAAAAGATAGAGGAAACCCTGTGATCAAAAGATAGAGGAAGGGTGATCTGCTACAGAAAGAAACGACGGCGATCATAAAAACCACCA